AGGACTTCAACAAGCAGTGGGTGCAGTCTTTAGGTCACAATGTTACATGCTGTATGTGTTGGTGATGTGGGTGACTGGAGAGTAGGAGGAAGTGAACTTCAGGGTCAGGTGCTGTTTTCACTCTCCATATGGCACATACAGTAAAGAGCGAATGAAGAGCCAAGACACAGAACAGCTGAGGCTGTCAGGCAGGTTCAGGTCAGATGTGGTTTTTGTTGTTTTGTTTTTTTTTTTTGTTTTGTTTTTGGTTTGGAGGGTGAAAAGCAAAAAAAAAAAATTGTTAAAAACTAAAAGATACATATACATAGATACATACGTACAAAAAGGAAAAATGCTGAATGAAGAAACAGTTGAAGCAACCGGCCTCAGTGAGGGAGAGAATAATGTGCTCTTTGTCTTGGAATCAGCACACATTCTTCATCGGGGTCATATCAGGTGAAAACGTCCTCCCTTCTCCTTTTTCCATCTTTTTCCCTGTTTTGCTACAAAATCCAACCCCCTGCTGCGGATTCTTGTGAGACACGGAGGAGAAGAACAACAAAGGTGAGACAAAGGTTTCGGCTGTTCCGACCAAACACGAGGCGCCCTCAGGTTTAACTCCTGCAGTGCGGTGGAAAACACAGGTGCAGGAGGAATCACAGGAGAAAACTTTAGCTCTAGGAGGAGGAGGGCGGGTCTTCAAAGATCAGCTGGTCCCTCAGAGACGTTTCTGGGCAATCAGGGAGCCCACCACCACGCCTGTCACCAGCGTCATCCCAGCCAGCAACCATTTCTTAAAACTCTCCTGTGACCTCCGGCTCTCCGCTGCTGCATCCTGACCAAAGAGTTCCGCAAAATGCTCCTGGAATAAAAAGGAAGGGAGAAAACATGAGTTGATCCTAAGAGACACTTGTTCTAAGATCATGTGAATGGAATGAGTAGGACCAGGTGATAAAAACCAAAAGAACTGTATTTGTACTTTCTAAACAGTATTGGTAAAAAAAAAAAAAAAGGATCATTGAGGATTATAGACTGTAGATAACAAATGGATGTAGCTGTCCAAACAAAATATATCACAAAAAGAACAAAAACACTGCAGCTCGGGAGGGTTTAGATTTAAGTATAAATCAGTGTGTTTCAACCTTGGGGTCACAATGCCACATAGTTTTTTTTTTAAAATGATGATTAAAAATACCACACAGAATTTTAAACAACTGTATTTGTGAAAACGACTGCACAAGTGACAGCTCTTAAAATGCATCTGGGGTCGCCATAAATGTGCGATGTCAAAACGGGGTCACCAGAAAAAAAGAAATTGCGAACCACTGGTATGATTCTGTGGGAAAACAAGGCTTCTAAATGTTAAGGCTACCAGAAATGGAACTGGTTTCAAACCACGGTGAAAACCTAAACTTTGACCAGTGAACGAACCCCACAGTTGTTTACATTACAGCAGACAATATTAACATGATAACAAGGAGGAAACATGAGATTGATCTAATGCCAATATTTATCGCAGGGTCAATACTTGGTTGCTCCACATTTATAATAACTCATTGTGCAATTTTTCTAGTAAACCCCCATAAATATTACTGTAAAGGCTACGGGTTATTACCAGGTAACGGTGCACTATGAACTTTTTTTTTTAACTATTTTTTTTTTACAGAGGTGATTTCCATCCAGAGAAACAAACTCCTATTGATCTCTGTGCAACCAGAAACTTTCTATTCCCATACGTTTGCATAAACGAAGCCATTCTTAATGGTGTCAACCACAGATGATTCAGAACATGACAGAAGGTAGAAAAAGAAATCAAAACAAAAATTTTTTTTTTGGTTTCAGGATAAGTCAGGGTTTCGGGACTGACGTGTCCCGAAACTCTCTATCTGTCAGATCCGACTGTAATATTCTGATCTCAGCTTCAGTGTCTGGCTTTGACATTTAAATACGAAAAACCATTCTGCTGAGAAATAAGCATTTTCAGTCAGGTGCATTCCCTTTTCTAAAGGTCTTCACACCTGGAAGACGCCGTCGGTCTGTACGACACCCACAGGTGGGTTTGTGAATGACTGTCAAAGCCTATATTTTACAGGTGGAAATTTCTACCTACCACATCAATGACACAGGTTAGACACATGCAAACAAAAAACAAAAAAAACCCAGCAGCACTGAGATGCATCATTAATGACAAGACCAAGAATCTTTTCAAGCGGAAACTTACGGCAATAAATTATTTTAAAAGTGCTGCGTTTCTTTTTCCATCAACACTCTCTCTACCCCCTCAATTTCACTTTCCAGATAAATCATCACCATCAGCTCTGAGGCACATTCCATTCTTTTTTTGTTGGTAAATGGTCTACATGGCCGCCCACTGAAATAATTTCCCGGAATTAGGTCTGCATAACATGCGCTTCCCATATGTGGCCGCTGCGAAACATCAGCTGGGTTTTTACACATGGCAGTCACTGAGGTAATGCAGTTGGGGATGTGGAGGATGAAAAGCAACATTGATGAAGGAGAGGGTTTTAACAGACAGCTTTTACTGAAGATTTTAATTTGAGAGGAGAGGAAGAAAGCAGTGGGTGAAAGGACAAAGAGGGAATTACCCCTCTTTGTCCTTTCACTCGCTGCTTTCTTCTCAGATACAGACACAGAAAAGAGATAGTGAGTGTCAACGTGAGGCATATTAAAAAGACATTTGAGCAGGGGTGTCAAAGATACGGCTCAGGGGCCACAACGGGCCCGCTCAGGGATTCAATACGGCCCGCTTGATGAATGTTGAAAGTGGAAAAAAACACAAAGGGGAAAAACATGAAAGTACTGTTATTTATAGGTCATTATGTTATGATTGTACTAGTGCAGCCCACTTGACATCTTATCAGGCTGTACGAGGCCCCTGAACCAGCCAAGCATTAGAGAACCATTCTTGAATATGGATAAACAGTAGCAGTCTAACCTTAAGATTACAAGTCAAACTAAAGTATCTCAAAACACAACTGTGAGAGACTGTCCACTCAAGCAGAAGACACAGATAGTGTGACGTGTCCTTTTGTTCCAAACTGTATCCGACTCCAATGTCAAGGCTTGTTACTGAAAACCAGCTGGTGAACAGCTATGACTAAAGTTATTCAGAGTTTGGAGGAATGGTGTAGGTGGTTCAGGATGGCTAAACCTGGGGGGGAGGATCATTTCAGATTAATTCCTCCAGTGACATCACTGTAGTTATCACAGAAACCGCTCCTTTCATACCTCGACGTATCACAATGCCTATTGTGTGACATCATCCATACCACAAATTACAGACTTGAACCTGAAGTGAAAAAGAAAAGGAAACTTAAGCCAGACAGAAAGTTTGTCCACCTTTTCAACCACCAGCTTTGTATTTGTATGATTTGTACTGAAAACGACATATTTCTACAATTCTCTTTACATAAATAAATACGCAACATTGGAAGATGACAAAAACAAACACTAACACGTGGCACTGTGTCAAGGCTGACCCTGACTAATACAGCCTGACTGCTCATTTAATTCGAGAACGAATGTTGTGTCATGTTCGCACCAAAAAAAAAAAAACACGGAGTAGATTTTCAGAGAAAGCTAAACAAAAAAATTCTGAGAAAATGCAGGGTGTGAATATGTTACTTGGAGATAAGAAAAAGGAGAAGCTGCAGGATGACCTCAGTGCTGAGATGTGATGAGCGCCCTAAAGTGAACGACTTGCAGCTCCCGTTATGCATCATCACCAGAACAAATACATGACGATGCTTAAACCTGTTGGAACGCGATGAGCGCTTCTTTCCATCAGGTCCACTTTCATGAATGGAAAATTCAGGTCATTTTAAATCTGGGCTTCGTGTGTTTAAAAATGTAAAAGTATTAGTCAGACTTTTCTATGAGGACCAGTGGATCGCCTCTGCTGCTAGCTGTGCAGTGGCTACGGCGGAATGTTAACAACAGTTATCCAGTAGTGATTCTTCTTCCCAATAAAAGCCATATTTGCTCTGTGGGAGGAATAATAAAAAAAAACCATTTCCCACAGGAATTATTTCTGGAGCATCATAGCTGTGTAGCATCTTAATTCTACTCATTAGCTTCATCCCTTAATAGTCATTAAACCCCAAAACCCTACCAGAAAAAAAAAAAAAAACTTCAGAAGAGAGTGTAAATGAAGTATTCATGTTATTTTGAAAATTTCCGACACACGTCTTGACCACAAACACCTCAGGGTCAATGGTCTATTTCTCTCTTAATTGGGTCGGAGCTTACCAAATGACATCATTTTCTATTCTGGACAAGCTGAAACTAGCTAACTGAAACCATGGTCGTCTCAGAGGGAAGTAATTAGCATAATTGAATAGGCAGTTTTTGGTGTTTAAAAATAGTTAAGTGAAGTAAAAATGTCTTAGTTCACTGCCCAAACAGGATGTGTTCAATGTAGAATCCAGTCCGACATGTTCTCTACATTCTGAAATTCCTGCCCCAGAGACTATACCGCAGTTTTGAAAGACATTCCCACTACTTCCTGGTCTCTGCACTGGGCTGTGGGAAAATATAGTTTCTAGTACTTTCTGTAGTTTCTGCAACAGACACAAAATTATTTTCTCTTGCTGATTTCATTAGTATGAGAGACTAAAAAACTGAAACTATTTCTATTAGTTATACATACATGTCGAAGGAGGATTTTAACGATACATTAATCCAGTCACAGTCAAAGGTCTCTCCATTCAGCCATGTCCTCACAATAAATAACCACATCAATGATCATGTCGACTGTGAAGCTCTTGCCAAAGTCTGGCAGCAAACATCCCAGAGAAGATTAAACAGTAAAAGAGAAGCATCTGAGGAATTTGTCAATATGTAACAAAGTGAAGCACGGACTTAAAATGTTGTGTGACTAAAATAAAAGAAGAATAAAATATATATTTGTTCTCTTGTTTTATTTTTAGACTAATACCTGTTCCTTTTTCAGGAGGAACTGTTGATGTAACTAATGGCACAGATGACAACGTTACGTCCGGGTAAACAGTAACTAAAGTGTTTACACAAAGTTGATCACAAGGTTGCCATGACTCATTTCCGATGTTTCTGCCTCAGTGACTCAAAATATTTTACATTTCCAAGCTCCATGAACACTGCCCCCACCATCTTTACCCTTCTACTGAAGTCCTGAATGTGGGTACTTAACCTGTGATGGTGGGCAGAGTTTCTGTTTCATACTTAGCGTCACCCAGCTAGCAAAAACCGCACTAGAACTACAAGACTAAAGCAGAGTAAAAGTTTACAAGGATTCTGAAATATTACAAGAAAGAAGCCACAAAATAAGGGAAGATAATATTGAAACAACATGAATAAAGCTACCATAAAACTCAAACAACAGGTCCAGATGATGAAAAGTAGCTTTTAGCTTCGTTATCACCGAGCTCCAAATTGGTAAAGCATTCGAAAGTACCCACGCAGGAATTGACAAATGGCGCTGAAGTAAATACTGACGTAGTGTGATCATACAGTGATTACACTGTGCATTAATAAGTAATATGTGTCAGTGTTTTACTGCCGCCTCTTAAGTGTTTCTTCTGCTGATGCCTGGATGTGAAATGTTCTCAAACAATGTGAGGAATGCGGGTGTAGAGAACAAGACTGCAGCCCTTTGTCATGGTGACTGACAACTATAAAACAGACATGCCAAGACATGTTACTCAGAAGTGGACATAATGTGATTGCGTATACTATAAATCTGACAGGAAGACGGTACCAGGAACACTGTTTTAAATGCATTAGAGTTTAGGTCTCCTTCTGACACCGCATGTGATAATTCAAGAGGTGTAGTAAAATTGTACTTCACTGTTTTTACCAGGCTAG